TTTCAGCACGCAGTAGCGCAATGTTCAGGTGTTGCCAGAGGACATGAAAGAATGGCGGAACATTTTAAGTTCATATGAATACTTGATTGGGTTAGCAGAATCATTAAATTTCTAGAGTGTTTCTTATACGGTGAGGCTCTGAATGAAATGGATATACAAACAGGGTTCATGATATGGGTAAAATATGTTAGTCGAAGACTTTCAAAGATATTTTGTTTATATATCTAGATCTATAGATACTGAAAAGCACACTTGTTTTTAATCAATCAATCCATTAATAGTGTATGTAAATATTCTTTCAAATGCTATTGCATAGAATACATTTCAACCTGATTTGTGGTTCCCTTTAGCTCTCGCTAGTACCCCTCCAAAGAAAATCGCATCGAATTAATTGCATGACGTCCATCCACCTCCCATCTCTAGAATACTCTTAAGCCAACTCACCCTCATGTCAAAATACGTAGGCATTTAGCGAAACGTTTATTTCATTATTACTCTGAGGGGAAGGCCGAAACAGACATAGGAAGAGTCAAATTGAAAAAGTCAAAAAGTGGTTTCCCCTCACAATAAATACACTAAGAGCTCATAGAGGGTGGCAAATAGTGATAGCCACCGGCCCATTTCATCGCAAGGGTGGAAGTGGACGGCGACATCGTTGAACTAAAACCCGGAACGGAAGCAGCAAAAGAACAATAAGAAGTACGCGGAAGCACACCCACCACCAACAGCCACCACAGACAAAAGGCTGCCACTTGTGCCCTCTTCCTCCCCACAACACTTCATCGACGGGCGGCCTCAAATCACATGCATAAGGTTTTTAAGTTTTGTGCTTTGTCATAGAAGTGCGTGGAGGACGATCTGCAGATACAGTTGTAAAGATATGGTAACAGGCGCGTAATGTGACAGCGTTGCCAAGCCGGAGAAATTGGTATGGAGTGGGTTGGCCAAACATAACGTTACACATGTTTGGGCGATGCCAGTCGAATCTGCCAGTGGGATGAGAGGTTGGGGGTTTACGAGGGTCGACAGAGAGAATTGGGTCTTGGTATGTGCCATGTACCAGAGGAACCATTCTTCCCACCCTCACGAGTGCACATCTCGGATTTTTTGACAGGCAGGCTCCCTCCTACCTTTCCCCCTATCAATCCTGTACGCTATTTACCACACGAGTATTACGTGAACCATTTCTCTTGACATTGCCGCCTTGTTTACACTAAGTGCCATCCTGCCAAACGGACTGGCAAAACACACAAATATTTAGATATCATTTTACGTAAATAGGAACAAGGAGAAAGACCAAGAACTGAGAGTGGAAACGTGAATGAGGCACCAACTAAATGCTGGGTAAATAGTTGCTGGTGTAATTGGATCAAAGCTACGTGGAACATTTATTTACCTGACGATATGATATTTGTGCACTGTTGGACAGGCTAGTGTCGAAATTCAATGTTGCCGTCCATTTCAGACCTTGAGGGGAAATTTAATTAAAGAACAGGTGACAATGTCGCAGAGGAGAGAGAACTAGCAGAATCACACATACACACACAAGTACACCATAATTTCAGCTATTGAGCATCATAAATCAAAGTTCAAAGTCCAAGTGAAACACAGCAGAATTTGGACTGGGAAGAGGAATAGAGCGCGGAGCTGGTGGCGTATCGCTGCTGCAAGTGTCAGCAGCATGTGGCAAAGAGAAGAAAAAATTGAAAAAATAACGAATACAAAAAAACGAGTAGGAACGTGTGAGACGCTTCTTAAGCGTCACAACTTTTATACCCGGCACTCAGTACTACATCTGCACCTTAGCGGTGTTTTGTCAAATTTTAAATATTTTCTTCATCTGTCATCTACATCTACAACACTTCTCATACCAACACGCTCCGTTAGCTCGCCGCCCTTTCCTAGACCCACACACTGCAGACTCGCGGCAGAGGCAGAGGCCGCGCCCGCACACAAAAAAAAACAAATAAAAGCTGCGGGACGGGGTGGGTTAAAAGTCGGCAGAGGCATAGGCAGAGGAACGGCAGAGGCAGAGGCCGAGTGAAGCAGAAGCGTGAAGAGAGAATGTGAAAACAACAACAAAAGCAGCGGGACAGGGAGGGTTTAGCCACTGCAAATTAATTTCTTCATTCTGGCTATAATAATGATCCAATCGGATCCCAATTTGGAGATAGATATGGCCATTCTCTACGGATTCGCGTTTTTAGTTTTCTTTTATCTTCAAAATTGTATATTTGGTAGGTTTTCGCCCTTTTGCGGGGGCGGAAGAGGGCGGTTCGCATTTTTGAAATACACTTGTAACAGTGTGAGAGAAACCTGGATGCAAAATTTGGTGGCTCTAGCTTTTATGGTCTCTGAGATCCAGGCGCTCAAGAAGACAGACGGACGGACAGACAGACATGTCTCAATCGACTCGGCTATTGATGCTGTGTTACATACATTCACTTTGTGCACAAATGCAATATACCCTATTTACCCTTCGAGTACCGGGTATAAAAGAGTAACACACAGACGGAAACGTTTCCGACCCCATAAAGTATTTATATTCTTGATCAGCAATAGCCGAGTCGATATAGCCATGTCAGTCTGTCCGTTTGTCCGTCTGCCCGTCCGTTCGTCTATCTGTCCGTCTTGTTGAGCGCCTGGATCTCAGAGACTATAAAAGCTAGAGCCACCAAATTTTGCATCCAGATGACTGAACTATAAACGCCATTCTGTAGGGAATTAGCATACCTATCAGATCACCGAATTGGGATATTTTGTCTTGGAAATTGTGCGGGACTAGTCTTTTAAATACACTTGTATCAGTGTGATATCAGAGATGTCTGTTGTCATAATTTGGTGGCTCTAGCTCTTCTAGTTAATGAGAATTAGCCGACAAACAAGAAGGACAGACGGACGGACGCACAGACAGGCCAGATGGCCATATTGACTCGGCTTTTGATGCTGATCAAGGATATATTCACTTTTTGGGGTCGGAAACATCCACTTACGAGCAGAAATACAATATGCCCTATTTACTCTTCGAGTACCGGGTACAGCAAGCACATCAAAACGCAGCAATCAAAAAATTTCGCTTTCCCTCCGTTTTTTGACAAGTTTAATTGAAAAAACAATACAAAAAAAATTTGCCATAAAAACGCAACTTTTAACCTCCGCAGCTGCTGCCGAAGCTTATAATTAGAAAGTCCTCCAAAGAGGACGAAAGAGAGAGAGCTCAAAATTAATTTATTCTTCTATTTTTTGTATTCTTTTAATTGAAATTTTCTTCATCTCTGTAGCCACTGCAGATAATTTTAATAACCTGCTCCACACACAGGAGGATGTCCAGAAAGGATGCGACGGTAATTGCCGTGACCAAAGCGGATGATAAGCAAATTTGGGAGGGAAACAAACCCCTCCTGCCACGAATTCACTCTCTTTTCTATCTTTTCATTCACTTTATTTACACCGCACGCTATGCTATAATTTATATCAGCAAAGATATGTACATACATAGGTACCTAATTCTGCAGGGAAGTTGATTAAATTTGATACAGTTCATGTATTCGAAATGAGGTTGAAAAGGGTTGAATTTGTGGTTGAATGTTGAGGACATTTATGTGGAGTTTTCTATGAAAGGGGAGAGTGAAAACAATTTTGAAAAATTTGTCATTGAATAAAATATTCCCTTCTTTCCAATATTTCTTTCGGCCACGTCTCTTCCGTTGCCGAGATAGAGTAGATGATAATACAGTGTTTAATTTCACAAATGTAAATAGCTAATGCTGATTTTTTCGCAAGAAGGTTTTTGTCTAATTTTGGAAATTCGTCCAAAAAGAGGTCAAATTATGAGGATCTAAAACATATACATAAGCCTAATTGAATGATTTTACACTACAAAAACTCTATATACTGCAATGTAACTTATAGAAAATATTTTGTACGTAGTTATGTACATGCTAATGCATAACTGGTCGCAAAAGGAACAGGTCAGGTTCCTTAGGCCAAAATACCCAAAATGCCAAAACAAATTCAAGCTCAATAAAAAGTTATTTGCGTATATTTTCCTCCCAATATTGTCGAAATATATTAAAATTGAAATCACAACGGATTTTTAGTATGTTTAATTAAGCTGGGGCAAAGCTTAAGCAAAGTCTCCTAAGCCGCTTGAACTATGTTTTTAAAATAAACACGAATATTGATTTAGCTGAATGAAAGTATTGCTTTGTTTTCAAATATTGTAAGCCGTTACAGTTTATTTTCGAACTAGTTTTTACCAAAGTTATCGATACATATTCTAGTTCATATTCTGTGGAACAACATGAACAGAACTGAGCCGCGCTAACAGCACAGAAAGTTCATGTTGGCGGTTAAATTAAAATTTTCTCTCCAGTTGCTTCCAGAGGAGATGCTTCCATTAAAATAATTTTTGGTACAAAACTTGAATTTAAACACTTACTATAAAATAAATATATTAACATTTGACTATAGACAAAATATATGTATTTGTTTACAGAATTGATTTATTTTCAATTAAGAATTAACTGATAATTATGGAATATCGAAGAGTAATAAATATAAATTAGACTGATAAGTTTGACGAATACAATTTACAAATTTGCTAATATAATTTGCAAGGCATGGCAAGCAGGTGAAAGAGGACGAACTTTTCAAAGCTCGCACATTCGCGCCTGTTGAAACGATCCCTAATAGTGCATGCGAGAACTTCTGGCAGGAGAGGATTTCCCTGTCCGCTTAGACACAGGAGAGGATTTCGATCACGTAGGATAAAATGGCCGTGTAAACCTGAAATTAGTTTTGGCGTATTTACCTGTTGTCGACACCTTAGTTTTCGGTACAAATTTCGCATCATGAAAGCTCCCTTGCTTTTTTAAGGGAGTTTTGAAAGCTCTTCTTCTCTGCGAAGGGAGTTTGAACAACTAGTGAGAACAACTAAATATAAAATAGAATATATAATCACATTTGACTATAGACAATAAATTTTTTTTTTAAATTGGAATGGGAATAAATATATATTATATATGAGTACAGGAGAGGAAAGAAAGATAAGGATCTCTCTCTTTACAAAGTTTCTAAAGAGTATGTGCTACCGTCAGCCGACTGCTGACGTCGGCAAAAACCACCTTCTTTTGCCAATACTGCGAGAGGATTCTGATATTGTTTAAGTAGACTCCAGGCGGGACATTCACTATGGAAAAGTCTCAATTGATTGAGCCAATATTCTACTCGATCTGACAGACTTTTCGTTAATTGCCATCTGCGCTGTGAACGCAAAGAATCCACTGTACGTTGATAGACTTGGTGCCCGGAACGGACTATTGCACGTTGCCCCACATCCTGGGCAGCAGCGTAATATTTTAGATACACAACGTTGTCTGTGCCTTAATGGTCGCTGCCAATGTTTTTGCAGAAATGAAAGAAAAGCTGCGGGTTCGTTTGTATTCCATTAAAGATGTAGCAGTCTCTTCAGGCTTTATTCTTCCCGTGCCCGGCCTTCCCTTTCTAGTTTTTATTTTCATATTTATCCATGACATCTCGGCACACCTTCAGCTCTTCCAGCAGAGCTATCATTTGTGAACGTTCCAAATTAACAATGTGCGTGGTATCCTTGGGCAGGCCTTCTACCAGTTCTTGAGATATTTTCAGTTCCAGGGTGGCACAATTCGCTGGTGTTTCGCCAGACGACGTTACATTACGTACACATTGCAGCTCGTTAACTGGAAAGGTGGAGAAGAAAACTTCAATACAGTGCATTTGCAAGGAACTAAATGTAACCAACTTCTAAATGCTTTGTCTATCAGTTTCTGACGTATGGAACCCGAACGTTTTTGCAGGACACTGCACATGGCCGCAGCATGCTCCTTGGGTAGGCCCAACTGTTGGATCTCCTCGCCAAATATGCTCTCCGTGCAATTGTAGCGGGCAGCATTTATCAGCATAAAGTGAATGCAGGCTACGGCCGTCTTTCCCTCGTTGGTGAGTGTGGATGTCAATAATTTGATGCCCGATTCCTAGACGAGAGAAAGAGAGAGTGAGAGCGAGAGTGAGTCTGTTGGCACTTACAGATAATATATCTAACTAATAACGCATCACCTCAAAAGTTCCACCACATATTCTTGCAGCCACAAGATCGCTTAATTTTTCCAAGTTCTCTATACTCAGGTTGGAGAGGGTTGATATGATTTCGGCCAATACCCAATCGGGGCAATCACCTTCGCCGCAGAAACGGAATTTCTTTAAGGAGAAGATAAATGATACCATATGTAGGTGGATAACATCTATGGGAATAAGGAAATAAGTTGAGTTATCTATGGCTAACTCCTTATCCTCCTTTTCAAGACCTTCCGCCCACGCATGCTTACTCACACACAACGCCTACAGCCAAGCAATTCCCATCACGTTTTAAGTAAATTAGAGACTAGACAGAGTACAGAGAGAGACTTACAGTGGGTAAGGGTATAGCTCGGAATACCCTAGGATGTTTACTTTTTATGCTATTTTGCAATGGTTTTAAAACAGGGTTGCGTATGAAGAAATTTCGGAACATGTTTCAAACCAGATAACCATACAAAATAATGTAATCTCAGCCTTATGAGCAAGCAAAAATAAACTCTTTAAACTGAAAATTCGTAGTCTTTCTTTTAAAACTGCTATACCCTTTGCAAGGACATGGAATCAACAACTTGAGCAAAATAAAAGTGGCTATATTTGCATATGATTAATTTCATTCGCTTGCCTGCTAATCAGCGAGCATTTGTACGACTGAGTGAGTGGCAGGAAAAAAGGGGTTAGTTAGTTCGTAGGGGAGGTGGTGGGTGGTGCCATCACAGCGACACAGAGAAGCTCGGCGAGACCCACATAAAAGCGAAGTCGTTTGGGGAGTCGTTCTCAGTTTCAGTTTCAAGTGCACGTCACGTTTATCTTTACGTAGGATTAATAAATTTCCGGGCATTGCGGAAAGAAAAAAACGAGCGGCAGCTAGAAGCGTGAAAATTTATGGCATTTGTTGCAACTGTCCTGCCCACAGCCAGGACGAGCACAGGACGGGGCATGCCACGCTTATTAATACGCACTCGTATTTATTTAGCGACGTGTGTAACGGCTTAGAAAATGCAAACGACAAACGTTTTATAATTATTTTATGGACTTCAAAGTCGTCAGCGGGCGCAACTCATTCATCCGCCAGTGGGCGGACCAGCAGTTGGGCTTAAATCCGTAACTATATAAGCCAACGACGAGCTATTTTTCAGAGCAGTTGGCCAAGAGGATTACGAGCACCCACATCCCTCGCACGCAGCTCTTGGAATGATGCAGACCTGGCGACTACTGTTCCTCATGCTGGCCCTTTCCAGGCAGCTGTACGCCTTGCCCACGCACTCTACCTCCGCTGACGTGGAGCTGAATACCTGCGAGCTTCAGCTGTCCAAGTACCGTAGGTTCATCATGCAGGCCATTCTCAGCTTTGAAGATGTGTGCGATGCGTACAACGCCCGTTCGGTGAGCGGCGAGGAAAGTTCCCTATCGGAGGGGGGCTGGCTCTTTCACCACTATGCCCCACCGCCCACCTCGCAGAGAGGCGAAATTTGGGCCTTCTTTAAGCTGTTGATGGCTCAGTTTAACGACGTAGAGTTCGCGTCCATCATCCGGGATGCCGTCATAGAGCGCTGCCGCATTAAGTCCCAGTTGCAGCGCGACGAGAAGCGCAATTCCGTGGTCCTCGGCAAGAAGCAGCGATTCCACTCGTGGGGTGGCAAGAGGTCACCAGAGCCACTGTTCGCTGTGCCCGATGCGGGCACAGTAGATCGCAGCTACTATTAAGCAGAGATGGAGTGAGATTGTTCTCGAGTCTTTCCGAAAATGTATGAAATGCCAATTGAGATCCTCTATATATCACTAAATGTCTAAATAAACATGAAAATTGCCAAGCGAGCATTGGGAAATTCACTCACCATTTTGTTGTTTTATTAGCTTTATATTATTATCGAAATTACTTCAGTTTGAGTTGAATATTAGAAAAAAAATGTTACTTATAATTGTGAAGAGTTTGCCGAACGAACACCAGAAATAGAATATATTATTATCTTGTTTATGTTTTTTATTATGTTATTCAGTGTGACCGCAAAACTATCGATAAATATACTGTACCAAAATATACCATTGCATCTTCAAAATATACCGTAAATATACCGTAGTCTTAAATCAGATTCCTCGATTTTGATTTTCTATTTGATTACTAGCTTACAAAGACTTTCACCACTGAAACAATAATTTTATCCGATTGAAGAATTTATTTTGCTTATTCTAAATACTCATTTTTATTGGATTGTATGTCTAATGACCTTATATTTTACAAATTTGTATTTGCATTTTTCATTCAGTATGTAACTGTACGTAAATTATTAACAGAGACACAAGTCCATATGTTAACTGATATCATTGACAATTAGTGAAAGCGCGGAACAAAAGAGGAAAAGAAATTCTAGAATTGCACAGAATTTATTATAAGCTCGGAGTGCTTTGGGGGCAGTTCTTCAATCTTTACAACATAATTGGGGCTAGAATCCGGTTTCAAAATTATCATTCATAATTCATTATTCATTATTCTTCTTTATCGTCTAACTAATCAACTATGAATGGTGTTGCATTGATTTGATTCCTTTTATTTCTATATATTTGCTATAGTTAAATATTAATATTTTATATTTAGTTAATAATTTATTATTTATTTTAAGTTTTTTATTCTAACGATCTTGCAGGAAACCAGGTAGCTTTCATGCTGAGAAATTTCTGTCAAAAAGCTAAGGTTTCGACGAAAGGTAAAACCCTCACAAAAAATGCAAGGATTGCAAGGTAAAATACACCAGCGACATCAATCATCCAAGTAACTGCACATTCGCACGGTTGCATTTCAGGGTGGATTTTTAATTGTTTTTGTTTTCATTTTGTGTATTTGTAAATGTGTGTAAACCATTAACAGAGCCATGTTAACTGAAAACATTCAATAATTTAAAAAAATAGCGTGCAAAACAAAAGAAGAGAACAAAAGTGTGAATGAGAAAATGTGCAATGAAAAAAAAATAAAAAAAAAACTGCGGGAATGGTTTTATTGGGTTTAGCCAATGAAAATTAATTTCGTCATTCTGTCTGTAATAATATATATAGTATAATAATATATTTTTATTTTTGAAACTTTAAACTAAATTATGACAATGCAATAAAATTATACGTTACAATACAATTATTTGTGCGATCATGCTAAGTATACAATTTACAGATCATATCAGCCAATGCACTATGGGTAAAAAGCCCGAATTTTTGTCATAATATGTGTGTGTTCTCTTAAATTTTGCAGATGCTTATGTTTTCACTCATGCAGCACTGCTGGAGGTCTGAACCAACAAAAATCGCGAAGCAGATGCAATAAAATGTTTTTCTGTAGAAGGTTTTGATGAAACCTGTCTAGCTAAAGATACATTATTACAATTTAAACGACAATTTTCCAATTTATTGCGAAGGTAAACAAGTACTGAGCGAAATGCAATCGCGATTCCAAACAAATAACTTTTAACCAAAAAATCATTCAATCAGTCAATCACATATATATATTTTTTTTAAGTTATAAAATGTTTTTAAAGATCTTTTATCATAATTAATTTTTTTAATAAATTTATTTATAAAAAATACGACGTAACTGGCTTCCAGTTCGTATGGGGCCGGCAGGTAGGCGAGGTCCAAAAGACTAACTTTTTTTCCGAAATTCTACTTTAGTCTAACGAACATTCTTGCCTATTTTTAGAGCTCTAGCTCTATTTTTGGATTAATTCCAAAAAATGCGCTTTTTATCCATAGTGCAATGGGAAAAATATGCAACGGCATCGTCCAGACACACCTCCCTTACCCACTGACACTCCATTTACAACATCCGTTTAACAGATATTTACGTAGACTGCACAGCAAAGCGGATCTTAGGTTCGGAGGATGGGGCACAGAAATCCCATAAACCTTGTATATATGTATTCCAATAAAAAAAAGTAGCTAGAGCAGCATCAGTACGGTTGGGAGGACTGCATGTGCTTTTAATTATCTCATATGGTCTGCCTTTGGGCCGATGCTGGACACGCTAAAAACAAATGTTAGCTAATCGCCTGCCCACAAATCTCAACTTGAAATCATTAAATGAGCTGATAATCCAAATACTTATGCATACATAGTAAGTATACTGTACAATATGCACAACGTAAACGACATTCGTTTAGACGGCTACGCTGGCAGCGGCGCCAACGCCTACAGATGTCCAGGCCCAGCCACAGCCCAGATACAGCCCAGCCCCGTTTCAAGATTAGAGTTTGGAAACGTAGAAAAATTGCAATTCCTGGGATTATAAAGCCCGCATGGATCGGTTATCGCCCTGATTAGGTAGGAGGGTTCCACTCAATAACAAATCTAAAAGCTGGTTACCTAAGCACTAAAAAAATATTCCTCTAAAAATAATACGGCTCTGGTAAGCTCTTTGTAATCTATTTAAAACCATCCCAGAGTGATCTTTTAACCCAGAGCGGAACTGCAGCCAATTAGCCGTTCAATTAGAATGTTTGAATCCAGAGAGCCGGTGCCTCGGCGCATCTATGTACATATGTATGTATGTATGTATGTATGTATGTATGTATGTACTCATTATCATTAGAAACAGTGCCTACAACTTAGTTTAATTGACTATGGTATTTCCAGACTTCTAAGACCCCTTTCGGCCATCTGGGTGCGAGCCAAACATTTACTGAAATTGCTAATTAATTAAACTTTCTCGATTCCCCATCTGCCTCCATAAAGTAAATAAAATGTTGAAAAAAGTAGGCCATCATACATACTTATTAGCACTGATAACAAAGGCAGGCTGATTAAACCCTGTCCAAAGATTTATGAGCAACGACAGGAGGCACGGTGGCTCCAAATTCTGTCATTGAACTTAACATTGGAGAAGAGGAAGAAACACGAATGGGTGGGTAGAAGAAAGGTGGAGAAGAGAATTGACAACTGATATGCTAGTTTGTCGCGCGACTGACCGCAGAACAACAATGGAGCTTGGAACTCGGCACACAATCTTCTCCGCTTTTAATCATACCCCCATTCGTTCCCCAAAAGTTCCTGAAAATAAATTTGTTCTTGTTCGTGTACCATTTGACACGCCTGGAAAGAGCAGCGCTGGAAAGGCACTGGATTTGTGAGGGAGAGGAGGAACGCACGATCGGAAAGTTCGAAAATTATGTTACGGGGGTTTGAGGGAGCGAGCTAACAGAGCGTGGTGGCGTGAGAAGTGATGTAGATGACATTTGTATAAAATGGGTAAAATGTAAGGTACAGAAGTACTACTGAGTACCGGGTACTCAGACGTTCCTTCTCGTTATACCTGGTACTCGAAGAGTAAATAGGGTATATTGTATTTGTGCGAATAACGGTTGTATGTAACGCATAGAAGGAAACGTTTCCGACCCCATAAAGTATATATATTCTTGATCAGCTTCAATAGCCCAGTCTATGTCTGTCTGTCTGTCCGTCTATTCGTCCATCGTGTTGAGCGCCTGGATCTCAGAGACTATAAAAGCTAGAGCCGCCAATTTTGCATCCATACTTCTGTATGCTCAAACTGAAACCAGTGTATTTCAAAAATTAGCCCCGCCACCATCCGTCCATGCAAAAGGGCGAAAAACCCCCCTAAGCTACAATGAAGATAAAGGAAAACTAAAAACGCCATTCCGTAGGCGTGACCATATCTTCCAGATCACGGAATTGGGATCCAGCAGCTTTTGTTGTTTTTTTTTTCACAGCTACACTGACTGAGTACCGGGTATACGGGTTGTGACTAACACCTATCTTTACTGCATGTTCGCGACCAGTTCGGTTACACGCACCGCGCATGTTAAAGATGATAAATGCATTTATAATGTATACCCAAACACCGTGGGGTTTTAGCTTACCGTCTGGGAAATTTAAGCTTTTAAATGCAAAAATAGTATATCAAACTAACTAAAACAATACTCAGACGACTTTAATAGGAATTTAGAGTATATTTTATTCCTTTACAAAAATATTTCCTAATTTTCTAATGACTTCAAAAATGTAATGTAGAATTGTGATTCTAATCAAGCAACTTTTAGGTTATTATCACGTTATATTAAGTTAAAGTTTCTTACGCCACTTACTCGAATTTTTGTTGTTGTTATATTCTATGCCTGTTCATGTATTTATTAATTTTGAGAAAACATAGAAACGCTTTAATACAAATAAATATAAAATGTCCAAATGTATGCAAATATATTGTAATAGGTGAGAAAAAACAGCTTATTATATCACCACTACCTTAGAAAATATAGCAAACACCTTATTGAGGCGCCAGCACTCGAGCCAAACTTGAAAATCAAATACATTAGCCACAGTACACACTGGACTTACTCTACTCAAGTTGGTCTGGCAAACAGATGTTGATAAGTGCCATTCTCTCTCCCCTTCCTTTGGTCACTGGTCTATTAGTTCGGTGATTAACATGGAAACAATGAAGAGGTCTTACTATTTTTAGGGTGTTGGGGAGTCCTCAATTAGGGGCCCACTATCAGCTTTCAGCGCAGACACGCGATATCAGACATTGCGTCGATGTGCGTTGGGTCTGGCCATATAGCCGTCGTCTGGCGATGTCAATGGAACTATTGCCGGGACCACTATCTGAAGCAGCATGTGAAAACGTGATCAGCTCACTGGCCTGCTGTTTGCTCGATGGGTTTCTACGAGTATGTACGATTACATACTGAATCGCATAATTAAGTTTGTTTTAATGCTGATCATTGATCACAGATGACCGCCAATCGCAGATGCCCGATCGTAATAGTTTCAATGGAAAATTACGCGATCAGATCCGTTACGTTACGATCCGCAGCAAAGCGAATAACACGGAAAAAAAATTAAAACAGTGCGCAGATCGACTAAGACTGTTAAAGAGATCACTCTGGCCAGAAACTGGCATGGGAACTCCACTCTTAAGGTCTGGTATCTATCCCTTGGTTTATTTATAGTCAAACCTTTCTGCGATTTTTCCGTTTCCGTTGCGAAGGAACTATGCTGATATGAAATCTTTGCCAAACAGAAATTTGTGTCTTTTTTCTTTTCGCTGCTTTCAATCGGCGAGCACGCTACGATCATGTGCTCTAGGTCAGTTACGGCATGGCCACCACGCTCCTGATCTTTTCCCAAAAATAAACCAGTTCTATATTTACAATATAGTTTATGCTGCGCAGTTTATCAGCAAAATCGCTTGTCGACTGTTTGAGGGGATTCTCAGTATGCATTGATAAGGCCAACAAATCGTATAAGTCGCGCGCCCTTCCATTTCTAAAATTAGATTTTCCCCAGAGGTTTTTTTAAACTAGTCTGAAAGCATGCTCCATTATGACTATAACATTACTCCACAAAATCGAACTTTTTGTTTCCTCAAGGAACCAAATCAAATATTCAATTAAAAAATTATTATTATTATTTATATTATTTGCTAATGCTTTTTTCAGAGGTAGCGGTTCTGTTCGATAGCTAAGTATCTTGTAAAGAACATTGCCATTCTGAAAAGCTATTTGATGCAACTAAAAATGGGACCAAACCACTTAGTTGTTTTAGTTAAAAAACAACGTTTAAAAGTAGAAATGATATAATATTATTTTATTTGTTAATGTATTGGTGCTGTATAGGTTCATTCAACGTTGCTTAAGGCACTGCTCATAAAAATCTATGTTTTTTAAATTAAATTTCGTAAAAATACCGCAAAAAAATCAAGTTTTTCATTTCAAAGCTTAATATTTCCCAGACGGTAAGATAAAACCACAAACTGTGTGGGTACAATTTATATATGTATATATCAGCGTTTTAGATTGACACAGTTTACTACAACCATACAACAAATTACTAATTAAGTTATCTGAAAAAAGAAGAGCTATCTCTAAAAAATTACTTACAAATAATAAATAGTTTAATAATATTAGTTTTTAAAATTCTTGAAAAAAATTGTCGCCATAAAAAAAAAATATATCATCAGACCATTCGTGATGGGTAGTGTAAACAATCGCCAGCTAGCCAATAACTTCCTGACTGATACAGAGATATATTCCCTGTCGAGTTCATCATCCTTTTCAAGATTCAGGTAAATTTGCATTTTATCTATTAGATGTGTACAATACATATGTATATGTATGTATACATGTATGTATATGCTTCCCTATATATGTACATACATATACGAATGGCTAAGACAAGATAGTGAAAAGGAGAAGTGAAAGGGCGCAGACAAGACTGCAGTTCATAAATTCAAATTTTGTAAATTGTCCACCGAGCAAAGCACATCCGCTCCAATCCCCTCGAAAGCAACGAACTATATTTATGTACATATGTATGTATGTATGCATGGAGAAGCAGCTACTAGATTTGCCAAAGGTCCAAAAGCAAGGCCCACGCAATGCAAGCAAATTCGAGTGTGCATCCAAAGAGGGAAGAGAAGATATCGAGCAGTGCAGTACGCGATGCAAGGGGAGGAACGATGCCAACCATGAATAATGGTGAAGACAGGAATGGAAATTTCGAAAAACAGTGGCGAAGGAAAACGGGAGAGCAAATGGAGAGCTCTCAGACTCTTCAGAGACTCTAGCCAACTCAGTGCAGCGAACCACTCGAGTAACTACTTTTTGTTCATGCAGGGATGAGATCTATGAGAAACCGGCTTTCACCTAGCCATCCGGCTCTTCCTCCTCAACTTATGTGCATATATATGTATGTACATACCTATCCAGAAGACCCCCCTTTAAGGGAACCACTACACCAAGTGGGACGCTGCAAAATGAGACTTTTTAACGCTCGAAAGACAATAAGCGTGAAAACCCTTCATATCCATATGTAGGTGCATAATCATGCAACTCACTTTGAGGTTGGGGTGGATATCATTCATTGTGAGAGAGCATTCAACAACTATAAGACCGCCATGAGCGAATGTTATCGGGGCACGCACACCACGCGCACACACACACTAACACAGGCAGCAAGACCAAAGATAAACACACTCAGATACACTTTCTTTGCCATAGAAGGTGCCCAAAAACTCAGCGATAAGAGGACCCAGTTCCAAAACCAGTCTGCATTTTTGTGTAGAGTGGGTTGCATTAAAATTCCAGGGGTTTCCGTTGCCTCGCCTAGTTTTGATGAGGGTACGATAAATATCATGTGGGTTGACAATGGTCCAATGGCTTCCATTTTCTCTGCATAGATTTAAAATAGTAAGATCATAAGAAATTTAGTTTAAAAGGCCCATTAAAGGGTGTTGCAAATGGTTGTCATGAGGGCTTACCTTAAACTTAACACGGAAACGTGTATGTGTTGGTATTTAAATATAATTTTACGAGCCTATGTATATTGAATATGCAATAAAAATCAAGACCCGTCGATTACTCGATAAAAGACATGTTTCTTACGCAAGACGCTAGTCAGTTGGACAATTGATGTCCACGTTAATAATGAAAAGGTTAAAATTAAGATGAACAGCTGTGACAAGAAACGAAGTCCGAAAAGTCGGATGGGTTGGGATTGAGCGGCTGTTCTAATGCGATCTGATCATGTCTCGAGGGCCTGACAGCGAGCGACGTTTGTCCGTCTGAGAGCAAGTAGTGGCGCCTAAACTAATCTAATCCAAAACTAAACAGAATCACCAATACCAATACATACAAGAACTCTACGAGTGTACATATCAACAAAATGCAATAGAAATGTGCGCGCCACGTCGATCACCGACGAACGTGAATGCCAAGAGAGCACGGCGTGGCTCTCTCTATCTCTCTCTGGAACGCTCTGGCAATGTACAGTGGCTGAATTTACTAATTTGTCACTCAAACAAAATGTGCAATTTCAAAAATTCGTCTTAATATATGAGTCATCGAATAGTATGCTTTTGTAACTTGTACTTGACATTTTACTACTTAAGTAATAATCTCGTCCTGTTCTTGATATTCAAATGGTGACAATCACATATATAAATAATATATAATGTCGCGTGGCGAGATGTTTTTGCTCGCCTAATTATGCATTTAACCCACTGTGCTATGGGCGCACAAGTCTTGACGGCAAGTTGCACCAACAAAACATTCATTCGTTTTCTCAGCTTCAAACGGAACGGAACGGGACGGCGTTTGTTGTTTTTCTCCATGTCGTTCGTTTGTTCGTGAAAACTAAAAATAAGTAACTAACAGAACGGCAGGGACTATAAAAAGCGCCGGCGAATAAATCAGAAAAGGCCGGAAAGTCCGTCCACTACGTTAAGTTCCTGACACACAGAAATCTCAAGAATATTTTCATAAATTCGGTTGAAAATTTGCTAAATTAAAATTTCATTGTCTGACGCCGTCGTCGTCCGTGAATAGCGCGTGTGATGCACAAATTAAAAAAAAAATGTATTGAAAGTGCATAAGAAAGAAGAGTGAAGAAAAGTTCCTTAGCAGCAGGCAAGAGAAGGAGAATACGGAAAGAACGAGACTTCAATAGCAATTAACGGTTAGTTCCATCCACCAGTATTTAACCGACACCAAACCAATGCAATTTAAGAATAATGACACTACTCGACAAAATTAAACTTTTTTGACTAGATTTGGGTCATTAACAGAACTATTTTTTGAAGAGTTTTTTAACACAGGATATAATGTTTTTCGACTCTTAGTGAGTTTTTAAAGACTTTGGGTACACTTTATAGATGCATTTATCAGCTTTTTAAATTGACAAAGTTTGTTACAACCAGATGTACAATATTTAAGTTATGAGAAAATAAAGAAGAGCTAACTCTAAAAACTTTACAAAAAAAAAACAGTTTTAAAAAACTGTTAAACAAAAAATTCTGCTCATGAGCAAAAATGTATCATAAGACCATTTCTAATCCCTGTATATTTCAGAAAAATTTGGTTTGGTTCCGGGGGGGAAAATGATGTCGGGTAGTGTATAGTATTAAAATTTGTAAATCTAAGAAAACTATATCAAACTGATCATTCGCTCAGAAGATGTACATACATATGAACATATCAAGACGCTAGGAAGCAAAATCCATCTAAAAATCACAGTTTAGATCCCACCTGAGATTATAAACAACAAAAATCACCAAGCAGTACACATACATATTTACATACATATATAACAATCGAAATTTAAACTTAATTATATATATATATTTTTTTTATTGTTTTTTGCGCTTTAATTGCAATAATAATAAATATTTTATATGTTATATTTCTTTCTCAGGGGCTTCCACACAAAAAGTTCCTTGTTGCGAGATCAATATCTATCACAGATCTATATAAAATGATTTCGCACAGTCCGCCCATATTTAGTCACAGTCCACCCGTTAGTTTTCTGGCGGACTTCATGAGCGGACATCAGCGGCAGGCATTGAAGTAAGTTAACCCAAAAGAATCATAAATAAAAGTGTTCATCAATTTGCATAATTTAACACTAAATTGATTCAAGTGAACGCACGTGCTTTCGGTCTTCAAATAAAATATATTGAATTCACATGAAATTACCACAGAAGAAATAAGAAACGAGAATTTCTACGTTTCGTATTTTGTGTCACGTCCCGAACTTTCGCTTTTATATTCGCATCATTCGATAAGTCTCCAGCTATTTTCTGTTTAATATTTTAATTAATTTTCTACAGCATGTACAATGAAAGTTGATTTCTTGGTTTTCTAATGTTTGCATTTCAGTCTGTTCAAAAAGGGTATTACTTATTCAACTTGGATGACTGGGAATTTACCTTTATTTCAGTATTTTTTGCACTTTCATTTGTACATATGTCAACTGCTTGAACTTAGCTAAACAAATGTGGTAATTCTATTAGGACTGAAAAATATTGTATGCCAAAACACCAAACACTTTAAAAAAACACTGATGAACGCAATGAATGCAGGCACTAATAATATTTTTGGGACTCAGGTTGGTTTGGGATGACAACACATTGGAACTGAAATATGTATAATGAAAGCAGTCAAGATCAAGGCAAGACAAGGAGAACGGACGATCATCGCGAACCAAAACAAACATTTTGGAGAGGCTACAGTGTGTGCTTGTTAGTGTAGCTCTGAGATTTGGAGGGTTGTCCACGAGTCGGGTGAATGACGCCGACGATTGCCCGCCCGCTTGACGACAAATGTGCGCGTGTCACTTTGACGCAACTTTTTGGCTCATGGACACAAGTACCAAAAGAAAAATATGACAATTCGGAGAGAGGAGCGTATGCTCCTTTTCGAAGAAATTCATTCAATTGAGAATAGACCACATTTGTGGGGCCTCTTTTAGTGCACGGGCTGCATCAGTCATTGATGATATTTATAGAGTGGGTTTTATTTTCAGCAATGAGAAAACACACAAAAACATATTTTGAAGATGTTCAAATATTCAGGTTAAAGATAATCGAATAAATATTTGTTGGAGAATGTCGTTTGTTTAGAAAAAGAAACATTGAACGAAGAAAATATAACTAGACCTACGAGTCCGCTTATTAATATGTACCAGGGAAAACCCTTTCATAAGCTTGTCATCAAAGCACGTGAATACGAACACCACTCAAAAAAATTAAAAAAAGTCGTATGTTTCTCCTTGGAGTCATTTCTAATTTCATATCGTGATTTTAGGCTCTAAAATGTAGAGCCACCGAGCTAGATTTATATGTATATTTGTGAAGTATACATTTTCCAATAACCGAAGTACCCACACACCAAGCTTTATTTGCAATAAAACTCTTGAAATGTTTCACTTTCCCACAACATAAAAAAATATGTTGAGACGGATCAGACTGCCCTGTAATCAACGGGAAAGATTCTTGGGACCAGGCCCACGCACAGTTTGCCATAACCCGGCTGATAAAAATGAAACCAACATATGGATGTCTAGGCTACGATCGAACCTTAGCATGAATTGACTTGACTTTGTGTAGGAAGTTGCATTATCGTCTAGACGAAAAAATAGAACTATTTGAAATTATTTGGCACATATTTTATAAGAGGAATGGTTTTGTAACGGCTATTTACCTTCGTGAACACACTTTCGCCAGTGATTCACAATATTCTCTCCAAAATGACACTCTCCAGAAAACTCCACTATCGCCACGCATTCCTGAAACAAGTCGTGCGCAACTGTAGGGCTTATCAACGGCGTTTCTTTACAGACAATATACCGTATATACCACATATGTACATACATATGTATGTATACTATATATGTACATGCTATACTTAGGATCAGGAGGTATAAGTTGTATACATAGGCGACAGAACAATGGATGGCAAATATTATCGCCGTACAAATTTAACGTGCGAGCATAATAAATGCGGATCGTATTGGAACCCCGCTTATCAAAGCTGATAAAAGTGCAGGCAGGCGAATGCGTAGATCCCCGAACAGGAGGCTCACCCCACCCCATTCCAGTCGCACCATCACATTCCGTACTGTACTGATCGAACCATCTCCGTGTCTCTGTGTCTTGCAGCTACAATGACGAACCCAATAGAGCATCGCGCTACTGCCGTCCACAAGTGATAAGTCTGGCCTCCAAAGCCATGGTCAACAATGCCTCTGCGGCCATTCAGTGCCAGCCGGGTCACCAGAAGGCAGGGGCCACGCCCCTGGGAGTGGGCAGTCGATCAGGTCGCAGTTATCTGGAGCGCATGGCTTCGGCTCCACATCTCTTCAACCAACCCAAGTCATGTCTCAGTCGCAAGTCCTGCCAGCACAAAACCCCACAAAGTCCCAGCCCCATAGATGAACCGACTCCAGAAAACAGCTATGTAGCGGACAACTGCTGTTGCACCCAGAATAATGAAGCCAACGGAGTGGCCCACTGCGAACAGAGGTGAGTAGCTGGCATGTGGCCGGGAATGATAAGATTGCATCATGGAGGTAACCTGAGACAGCACCGCAAACCGAATAAGAGTTCTCCCAATGCCTTGGGGGTTCAATCACTTTGACGTCAGCCGCTGAAAGACAATGCGCCCCACTCACTAATCTTGATAAACCGCCTAATGAACTAGATCGAGGTTTTAGTAGACTGGACTCGAAGGGTTGGATTGGATTGTAAAAATAGTCAGAGGGCAACCTTGGGCAACAACACGAGCAAAAGATGGTTGGTAGAAAACCAACGTAGCCGGGGACCTTTCATTAAATTAAGGGAACAATTAAGGAGATGCTAAAGTTGATAAAAGAAAACATTAGATGTATAAATTCAAATCAAATCAGACCAATCAAATGAATTCCATATAAAACTCTCCCAAAGTTGGGCTGCTTTGGCCCACTTTGTTGATCTCATAAGCAGCCCCAATAACCTATCTGAATGCCAATAACATTTTCTTTGAAAAGTCATTAACAATAGTTCACCAAAGAGACAAAACAGCCCGAACATTTCTTTTGGCAATCACACAACTTTCCCACAGACGTCATAGTCGAGCACATGTCAATAGTAAAGGGGCTAACAGGAAATTGGAAAAAGGGGGAAAGGGCAAAATATACAAAAAGCCAATATACTAAGGGGAATATATATATATATATATATATATATTTTAAATTCGAATCTAATTTTAAAGCATGCAATTTTACAGAAGAAACTAAAACCAAATTGAAGATGAGTTATCTCAATTTTGCAATACACTTGTAACACTGTGATATCCCAGCCATCTGTATGCAAAACTTGGTTGCCCTAGCGGCTATAGTCTCTGATATCCAGGCGGCTATTGATGCTGATCAAGAATATGTATGCCATATGCCCTATTTATTTTTCGAGTACCGGGTATACAAAAAGTAATTATCATCAAAACGTTTCGAAGTCCCATATCTTTCAGAAAAGTTTAGTTTGGATCAAAGCGTAAAAATCGAGTCGAGTAGTGTAGTGTAATATAATGGTTGTTCATTTCGAAAAAAACCTGACCTGATCAATTTAGTATATTCTTGTAGCAAGGATATAATACAGTTAGGTAATTTCAAATGCAAAATAAATAATTAATATATTATCCATGAAAATTTAGTTTTAATTTAGCAAGTTTTCCGACGAAGCCGTCTATCAAAGTCGGAAGCATCCCGCAGATAAGTTACACTCTCAGATCAATCAGACTTGACAGACTATGAAAAAGCTTTCTTAATTACCCCCCAAAAACGAAAATCATAAAGATCACCCATAAAACAGCGTTGCCAGGTCACGTCAAGGCCGAAATATTATTGGCCTAGAAGCGTGATCGCATTCAAACGAAAGGCATAATAAATGAACATATGTACATTTTTTTCGGGTGTAACCTAACTTAAATATATTTCGACATTACAGTCCCGTCCCCACCTAGCTGCCATACAAACACACGTATGTTTAAGGTTATATATAGAGATTGTGAGAAGTGTTCATGTGAAGATCACGTGCTCTGATCAGATCGTGTGGAAACTATCTGCTGTAAAAACTTAGGAAAGCTTGTTCATCTGTGCATTGAAATGAATTTTTTGTGTTATTCAGTATCAATATTTTTGTGAGATAGAAGTAATGACACGGGTGGAGATCATCCAATACGATGCCCACTGAAAAATAACCACAGAAGAACTATGTTCAGTCTTTTACTATTGGACTTTGAGCTTTTATTGAGAAAATGGACAAACGAATCTGAGTGTGAAGAAACCAAGGAAAAAACAATGAAAAGTGTGAAATGGAAAACTTTGAAAGATGGAAGCACTTTGTGATTATTAATATGAAATAAGAAATGATCAGAGACAGTTTGTAAAGGTCAACTATTAAAACTCTCAGAGTTTCCGCATCAATTAGGAAGTTTTTAAAGTCTTACATGATTTTGGCAAGCAGTTGATCAAGGTCTCTGGATCAAAACCTAAAGAAAATGTTGAAAATATTTTGAACTATCAAAGTTCAAAATTTCTTTTACAAGAAACGAAAACTCGTTTACGCGGCAATTCAACCAAAAAAATACCTTAATGTGCCTTGCATATTGAACAGTTTTAATATTTATAGACTTGTTAAAACCGGATATCAAACATAACTCTGTATGTATCTGTAATGCATACGGAATTGTATGTATATTTTGGAGGATTCGTTTTGTTCGATTTTGTGGTCAAATGTATTGACGGAGAAACTCGTTCCTCTTGGAAATAATGGAACCAAAATGGAAAATGTATTTTAACTTAAATGATTTTTCGGTTGATCTCTTGTACGAGTTTGCTACTTGACATGCTCTCAAAACTGAAAGCAGGAAAGCGGCCAGCCAACAGAAAGAAACCAAAAAACGAGACCTGCCTGAGTCTCTGATTTCTTGTCGGCTGCTGGCTCTGATGGGCCCACACAAGATAAGCAATCGCATCGACCCAAACGGAAACCTGTTGAAGAAAATGCAGCCACAGCAGCGGCCACGCAGCGGCGCCCGGCGCACTGCTGATCATTCCCTCGATGCGTGATCTCCGTCGTCCACATCGATAGTCGAGTAGCCTGATCATGGTACGATCTCTACAGAAATGCCAGAGCCGGCTGTTTGATAATGTCGGCATCCAATAAACAGAAAGGCAACCTTGCCTGGCCTGGCAATAGCCATCGCCAACAATTGCTTGATATTTGTATTTCAGATATATTTAGCACTCGATGCTCAAATAATTGTTCTGTGCGGGGGGTTTGACTACGGTCGGTAGTAACTTGCTGCTGTCTGACGGCGAAGAAAAACTCGAAGTTTATTTCGAATGACTCCATTAAAAACGATCCCCTGACGACTATGATAAGCTTATGTTATCTTATCGGCTCATGGGGTAAAATTTCTATAAAAATATGTTTTCGTAGGGATTTCGCTTACACGAGCTAATGACAATGACTATGGTAGAAATTAAAAACATATTTAAAAACCTAAACTAATAAAAACGAAGAGAGGCGTGTGAGACGCTTTTTACTCGTCCAACTTTTATATCTGCTACTCAGTGGTACATCTGTACCTAAGGCTCCTGCACCTCCCTAGAGTCACACACTGCATGCGTGGAATGAGAGAATGTGCAAAAAATAAAAAAAGGCGCTGCAGGGGTGTGGGTTAGCCACTGCAAATGAATATCGTCATTCTGGTTATAATACAATCGGATCCTTATTCAGTGATCTGATAGATTCTCTACGGAATTGCATTTTTACTTTTCTCTTATCTTCAAAATTGCCCGTCCCTTTCTGAAGGCGGATGGAGGCGGGGCGAATTTTTGCAATACACTTGTAACACTGGGATATCCGTATGCAAAATTTGATGGCTCTAGCGGCTATAGTCTCTGATATTCAGGTTCTTGCCAAGACGGAAGGACCGACGGATAGACGGACAGACGATCAGACAGACTCGGCCATATCGACTCGGCTATTGATGCTGATCGAGAATATATATACTTTATGGGGTCGGAAACTTTTCCTTCTGTGCGAAAATACATTTTATAGATAATATTATGCAATTCAGCAGCACAGATCTTAGAAAATAAGGCATGAAATTCTAGTTAATAAAATGGGTTATACTGGCAATAAAGAATAGTATACTCCGTAAACAATTTGAATGATTGATTGATCCATAATAAAGTATTGTCCAGCTGGCAACAATAAAGGTCCTTTTAAATTTGAAGTACTTAAAACAGTTTAGGAAACACAAATAAGTACAGCAGTAAATATGTACATACGTATGTATACATAAGTACATATATACAAACACAGTTTATAGAATAATTTGTCGATAAAAAATAATATTAATTTTATTTTATTGGTTTGTTTTTTTACCATCTTTTTGTATTTTGATATTTTTTTTATTTTGAGTTTGTGCATTTTTTATGAATAGTTACTTGTTTGACAAATCACGAAAATACTACATATTTATGTATAGTATAGGCATTCGAGTGGGGTGTGTTTTTATTTACATTGAAGCCAGCGGCTCGTGGGAAGAATCGCAAGAAAAGAAAAATGTAGGCGTGTTTTACATATACATACATACATATGTATGTACATATGTAGCTTCAAGCTCATTTTTGGCTACTAAAAATAGACATTAAAATTTCAATACACATCACTCTTTTCATGACGCAGGCATTGTGGGAATAATATTTTCGTAATGGATTTAACTTTTTTGTGAGAAATGGGAAAATTTGACAGAATATTTTGAATTTTTTACGAATGGTTGGGCTTGTTAGTGAAATCTATTGGCAATTATAGAGAGTCCCTTCTGATCCACGGAAATCCATAAATTATCTGAAACAAATGAATTTGGCAACGACGCAGTTAGCTAAACTAAAAGACAATCAAAGCCACCAAACTGTTGGTCATTGAAATAAAAATCTCCTGAAAGAAGAAAAGTCAATGACCATTAAATTCAATAAATAAATGCCCAATGGGGGGGTCAATCTAACCTGATAAGGCCAGGGTCAATTCTATATTTAATAATATATATAATACATATGTACATACATATGTATAGAATTTCTTTTTTTCTTTTTCATTTGGCATTTATTTTTTGTCGTTTTGCAGTCGCGGCCCCAAAAAGCATGTGATCTTTGCCGATGATGAGGGTCTATCGCTAACCGAGGTTCGCGTGATGTCCGAACCCTCGAATGTGCCGCCCTATTGGAGCATGAAATTCTTGGAGCAGATAACACAGGGTCTGGTCAGTCCACATCCGCCAGATCAATGGACGGTGGACTTCAAGCAGCCAGCTTCAGATTATTTATCTTTTAGGTAAGTACTGCCTGTGATAGGCAGTATGCTTGCGTTTATCTTTAGATTCTTATAACCTTTTTAACTTTATAACAGACAAAAAATAGAGCGGGACTATGTGTCCCTAGAGAATGTGATTGTCAAGGATGAGGAGTCCATAGTGGTGGGCACCATCAAAGTGAAGAACGTTGACTTCCGAAAGGAAATCATAGTGCGTGTCACGTGGGACGATTGGAAGAGTCAGCAGGATATATTTTGTACTTTTGCCAGGGCCTATGGACCGACCACCTGTGCCCACGTGATTTTTGATACATTCTCGTTCAAGATCACGCTGCCGCCATCCTCGAAGCGCTTGGAGTTCTGCATTTGCTATCGCACCAACGATACAGAGTATTGGGATAATAATGATGTGAGTTGATTATGGCAATAAAAGGCGAACCACTTTTTTATCATTTCCAATCCTCCTTTTATTAGGGTACAAACTACACCATCAGCAAGCGTTCGCCCTTTTACTACAATGCCCTCTCTCCTTATGATAAGGGTCAGAGTCGCAACTCCAGTCAGCAAATACGGTCCACCCTGACTGATGCCCTGGCCAAGGTGCAGGACCAAAATGGTTGGCATCAAGACGCGCATACACCATATTGGTGAAGTCTTGGGAGATGAAATGGATTTTCCTTCTCCGAAAGGAACACATCTCATTTGGGCCACATCACCAGAAAGTAACAGAATTAGGAAAGAAAGGAAAGAATTAGGGACAAAGAGAGAGAGTCTAAGAGATTGTAACGATAACGAAACTGTTGACTTAATGATTAAAGTGCCATTGATCAGAAAATCAGAGACGAGGGCCCATAACTACTTTATTTAGGCAAACCCCCGAATTTGTATGTTTATCTAATGAAATTTCAAGATCATATCTTTTACGTGCATCTTTTTTAAATTGTTTGTATGTTGATCGGAAAAATTGTCTAAAAAACTATAACTTTATGTAATGTATACCCATATGCCTGTGTGATTGTCTACATCGATATAACTGATGATATAAAATAATAGTGAGAGGAAGATATACTCAAGGAGTGACGTATCCTAGCGAACCAATAAACAAATAAAGAAAGAAAGAATAGCAAACATAACGCATGTATATGCTAATGCAGACAACAAACAAAACTTCACTTTAGTTTTTAAGCTTATTGGATCCATAATTTCGGAATTTTATAAAATCATAACATTTTCCCTTTGGTTATTTGAAACGTTAAGACTGAAATGGCTTGTTACGGAGAAGAAAACACGTCCTGCAATATACCACATTATAACATATAGCAACAAAATATTCGCTTCACCACATAACAAACAACGAAATTTTGTCATAATAATTCTGCGTGAGTCCCATCGCCGACTATATACTATTCAATTTAAGACATCTAACTAGATTTAAGTGATTTGTACAACAAAAAAGCAAACAGAATATATTTATGTACATATACCAGAAAATTGCCTGTTAAATACATTTATATGCGTCTGAGCTCAGTTATGTAAAGATGCCTAGTTCGTAGTCCTTAGAGGTTATTTAGTTAGTAAGGCGCCACATTGATTTGTATGAATAACTTATACATACATATGTATGTGTGCATGCATTGTACATATTTAGGAAGAGATGGAACCCTATGTTTATTCAGTTTTTTAAGACAGTATGACACAACGAGCCTTTGCTTATTGCTCATAAACGAATAAATAATATAAATGTTTAAAAATGTACATGCTCTTTGATTCGCTGTTCGCTACGCTGAACTCCTCCAGGCAATTTGGAAACCACGAGCAAACAGCAAAGAGCTGATACACTCAGTACAATAATATCGAACCATGGCGAAAGTTTACCTTCTTAAACCCATATACTGTCCTACTAGGTAGGTAAGCGGGAATGATCTACGTTTTAGAGCATATAAAACGCTTGTTACGCGTCACAACTTTTATACCCGGTACTCAGTAGTCATCTGTACCTTAACGGTTTATTTCAAATTTTAAATATTTTCTTCACTGTCATATACATCTACAACACTTCTCACGCCAACACTCTCGCCCCCCTCCTCTAGAACCGCACACTACATAGGCACTGCTGAGGCAGAGGCCGCACACTGCAGAAGCAGGGTGTGACTGAGAGAATGTGCAAAAAACAAAAACAGCTGCCGAAAGTGGTGAGGGCTAGCCACTGCAAATTTATTTCTTCATTCTGGCTATAATAATGATCCAATCTGATCCCAATTCGGTGATCTGATGGACACGGTTCTTCCCTATGGAATAGCGTTTTTAGTTTTTTCGTATCTTCAAAATTGTGAATACCGGGCGAAAGGGGGCGGGGCTCATTTTTGAAGTACACTTGTAACAGTGTGAGCATACAGAAGTCTGGATGCAATATTTGGTGGCTCTAGCTTTTATAGTCTCTGATATCCAGGCGCTTAACAAGACGGACGGACAGACACACAAGGCACTGATCAAGAATGTATATACTTTATGGGGTCGGAATCGTTTCCTTCTATGCGTTACATATGTACATCCACTTTTTTCACCGGATTTTACCGGATATAAAAAGAGACAACTGTTGGCTACGATTTCAAAACTTGCTATTTAGTCAACGGAATAATTGTTAGATCTTTCCTTTCCTGAAGGCAGTGTTATCCGTAGGGTTCCGTACGGTTTTTGGACTTATTTATAATCCGAACCAATCTTTTTAACCTTGGGCTCGATTCAAAAATCGATTCCTCGGCAGATGGCCGATTTGGTAACCCGTGGCTCACAGCTTGCCGATACCAACACAGCTTAAGTTCTTCAACCGATTCTGCGCAGCTCTGAAATCAATTTATAAAACGAAGCCTCGCTAAATAACACCTCTGGATGTATAAATTATGGTTGTACGGCATCATAGCCATTCAAGTATCACGTTACAAATTTAAAGTAATTTTAAAAATACAAATACGGTTGCTCCATGAATATTGCAGGCAATTTATTTACAGATTCTGCTTATGTTTTATAATTCCAACTACATTCTACAACGTAAATCTCTGTACAGGTCGAGAACGTGCTACTTACACACCCGATAATTGCTACCATGTAAAAATCACATTTCAATGACAGGGAACAACACCTAGTTGTTCGGTCATAAGGTTATCTCCAAGCGATAACTGAATTCATCTCGAGCTGCTACCAGTTGTAGATAGAAAAACGCATAGACTTGGATAGTTAGAAATTGGAAATGCATGGTTTGATTTGTTTTATAAATTAATTTATTTGCTTTTTGGGGATCGGATCAAACAATTGAAACAGCGTAATATCATTTCTCATACATGACAGGTGCAGGACCACGATACAGGGAAGGTGAACAAGTGGGCGGCAGGGTTATGGGAAAAAACTCAGGAGACAACACGCAAACATTCTAGCCAGCTTAAGCTAGAGACACATTACAGTAGGTTTATATATAATTGTATCTGTTGGATAGAACAGAGATGGAATACTTTTAGCTTGAGTGTAGTTAAATTACATAAGATAGATTCGTCTATAGAATGTTAAATTTGTCGACAGTGTAAGTTTCGTTTTGTAGAGTAGATAAATGGCTGAGATAGAGAAATGCATGAAGTGTAACTGGAATGTTCATGTGTCCATCGCACACACACAACATTGAGCTCTATAGAAATTAAATATATAATCTTAAAGAATAACTTCGTTTCACAATCGAAAGTAAATGTAAATGTAAATGTATGCTGCTGCTCCTGGTTCAGCCCGAATCCGCGCCAACGCATCAACTCTGGTCTTAAACTACAAGTGGATCATTGCGTTCTGCCCGTCGTTTCAACTTATTGCTTCTCCAGCTTGGCCTTCAGGCTAGCGGGCATCTCTGGTGGTGGTGGGCGGGGAATGCCCAGAGCAACCTTGACTCCATCATAGATGAACCATTGCAGAGCGGTCAGGGTACCGATCATAATGATACGAGGCGTCAGGCCGTTCCACATTCCACTGAAGCCGAGGGACTTGGCAACGCTCACAGCGCTGGCACCCTTGGTCTGGTTCAGCTTGGACACGACCACATCAGCGGGATGCGATACGATGGCACAGAACACACCTGCAATGTAGCCAGCGGCAAAGGTGACAACCAGCTGCTCGCCCTTGGAGCACTCAACGCGGGGCTTGGGAACCACATACCTGGCAGGAAGTGGAGCAGGATAAAATATGGATAAGGAGGGGGGATTCTACAACACTTATCAACTTCAGACTTACTTGTAAAGAAGCTCAACGGTACGCTCAAAGCAAGCGAACTTCATCATGGTGTATGGGATTTGACGCATCCACAATGGCACTAGACCCTTGTAGAAGGCATTAATGCCCTCATCCTTTAGCATCTTGGGCACAGCCTCGCGGAAGGTGCTGGCAAACCCGGGCACAGTCTGAATCTTAACCTTGGCAGCCTCGAAAGGAGACAGGGCAATATCGGCGAAGAACTCCGCTGATGCAGAGGCGGCCAGATACAGCGAGGTGCGGTACAGATAGGAATTTTCCTCACCCAGTATATTGGCATACTTTACTTTGAACAGCTCGTACAAGCCAAACTTGCACAGACCCTACAGCCAGCAGACACAAAGCATAGTCGGAAAGGTAATTAGCCTCCATTGAGTAATGGGTTATCAGCCGCAGTCACGTTTCCGTGACTGGAGGGTTGCGTAACCGGCAGACTTACCTGTGCAGAGTAGCCCAGCAGAGTGGGGAACCAGCCCTTGGCCAGGCCGCGGGCACCCTCCTCGGCAACGGTGACTTTGAAGCCATGGAACAGATTTTTGTATTTGGCCTGATCGACCTGCAGGCGACATTTGACCAAATCCAAGGGTACCACAAAGGTGTGAGTGGTTCCACAGCTGAGAATACCACCGATGCCGCACAGAGCAAAGTATTTGTTGCTTCCGAACTCGCACGAATCGACGGTGGCGGCAGCTGCACTGATCTGACGGCCATGCACCGGCTCTAGTTCAAGATCCTGGGAACAGGTCACAGCGGGCGCACCCTCGCACTGGACGCGGCCCAAGGGGCTGCGGAACGGAGAGTTCTTGGCAGTCTCAAAAAAGGACGAGAACATGGTTGTAGCTCTTTTTGTTGTTGGATTGCAGCTGCGGCGAGAGGTGAGCTGAGGAAAGAGGAAGAAATTCGCCTCGCAATTAGCGTTCAGAGACATGTGCTTATCTAATTTAATCAGCTGCTCTGCACTATTCTTGGCCTCCTGTGCCAGCACTTTTCTAGGTTACATAACACCGTGCCAAGAATTTGCAGCGGCGCGCCCTAGCGGCAACGAAAATACTTCACTTACGACAGCAAAATCTGTGCCACAGGAGCAGGCTCACAAGCAATTTTGATCTGTCGAATCTTTTTCTAGTTTTCAGTTTGATTAGAGATTCTTACGAAATTTTTAAACCGTTTTTTTGCACTTACAATTCGTCAGCAGCGTTTTCAGCCCGTGGATTTTTTAGAGTGACCGCTCAAATTATTTTTTCGTCGTGTAGTGTGACCGCCGCGATGGGTTTTTATGTTGATTAATTATATTTCCCAATGGTGGATAACTGAAAAGGAATTTTTCCCAGTTGGTATTTGCTCATTTTGGCATGAGACAGAACAAATTCTTCGATTTTTACATTCGGCTTTATATAACTAACTATCTAGGACTCCTAACACTGAAAATGATTTTTTAATAAGATACAGGATTCGGTTTTCTGGAGATTAGTTAGTTCTAATAAATAAATTGTATTCGATTTTTATTTATTTTAATGAATTTGGTATGTTTGAGACCCTTGGAAATATACCGAAAAATATCTTCTTACCGTAAATATACCGAGGAAAAAAATTACAGCCCAAGTAAGCACCCTTTATTTTTAAAACAGTTCCCGGCATCTTATATTGGCATCTGCTTGAACTGTATACGGCATTAATGAGAAAGGCAAATTTAGCACACAACAAAATAAATAGTATGGCTAGGAATATGGTATATATTTTGCGTGTGCGTGGAAGGTGACTAGCGCATACAAATTAGCTGTGATTTGTAATCATGTGTTTATTAAACGGAAAATAAAAGGGTAACAAAAAGAGCTGGTAGTTGAATTAAGAACGTTTGCCAAACGTCCATTATTGCCAAAAGAGCACAAATAATAATTAATTAATTTATTAAAATCAGTATGTTGATTTAATTTTCAGTAAAGTCATTGGAGACATTTTTTTTGTTTTGAGTCCGACGATCTATTCGACTCTCTTTTACGTTTTTGGTATAGTATAATATACTACTTGGTTAGTGGACCACACACGCACTTCGTATCGATATATCGATAAGAATCTGTGGATATCGCTTACGTTGCTGGATACTCAAGAAACGAAAAGTCAAACCAACAGATTCTGGCTTAATTTTGTATAATTTTACTCAAATTAAAATACCTTGAAAAATCGTTTATGAAAACAAGTTTTAAAAATATTTGCTTATCAGCTTATTTTGTTGAATTTATTGGTATTTTCTGCCTTGCGCGGTCACTCTGCGGACATCCTTAATGTGAAAATGTAATTATCGATAGTTCGATATTGATACATATCTTTGGTACAGAAATACTGCGCGCAAAAGTTAAACGAAGAAAAGTTTAAACACAAAATGAAATATACACAGAAAGGCTTTAAGGCATATTAAATATAACAAATATAATATTATATAGCTAAATGTTGAATAAAAACAAAAATTGTGGACGTTATTACGCTTTTCTTCTCTGCATGAAAGCTCTGAGTCTGAGTTTTGTGCTTTTTAGCTCTGTAGCTTTTGTTTTTTTGTTGTTTTTGCCCGCTTTGCCAGCACAGCCTACGTTTTTGTGGCAAAGAAAAACCAGCCTTGCCCCCAGCAAGACGTATGCGCGCGCGTCGTGATCTGCAAAAGCTACAGAGAAGCGAGTTCGGTTCGTTGCGCGTTCGCACACGCGCGTCTTTTCTCTCTTCGCCTGGCCCCAATAGTTGGCCAACGAGCTGGACCTGCGCACTTCGCGGTTAATTTTTAACTTAAGCAGTGAACAACAAAATCAAGCAAATAATTGAGTAATTAAAATGTAAGAAATGAGTGCTTGTATGCAAAGATGCTCTGTCTTGTGTGTGTATTTGTGTATCTGTGTAACGGTCTGCAAACTGGGTTTAGATCCACTAAAAATATGTAGAATCAAAGTGGTCTTTTCAATTGATTATGGAATTGCTTTGAAAGCTTAAGAAGTGTTTAATTAATCGTATGTGTTTAACGGACTGATTTATTTGCAAAGCTGGAAAGGAGAAACTGATGTGAAAAACCCAGCCAACAAAATATGATTTTCTTGTAATATGCATACATACATATGTATGTGGATGCATATGTATGCATTGTAAATATATTTTTGGAATCTTAAAAGAAAGTTTTGACTGTTCCGAAAAAAGGCGTATATTCAATGTCGATTGAAATAATATTTGGAACATTCCTATAACCCTCCATTATCAAAACGTTAAAAGCGATTGAAAAATATTAATGGACAAGAAAAGCGTATCAAATATATATACATACATAAGTATGTATGATTAATGCATCATTGAATCCTACAGTAAAAACACTGTCAGCGCAGAATTGAATAAAAAATTGTTTGTTGAATAACTAACAAGAACGTTTGTGATCAACTACAGTGATTGTATACAAGTAACCTTATAAGATTATCTTATTTTTCCCCTTGAAAATACAAAATATAATAATAATTAAATACACATATGAATAAACATACATATATGTATTATGTTCTGGATCTCCTTAAATTAAGGGCACGATTTAGTCCGAAAGTTGTACATGGAAAGGAGAGTTAATAATAATACCGATATCTTATATGGAAACTGCCATTGGTGAACGCATATAGGCATCATTGGATTCCAAAAATTCCTCCGTCAGTTCACGTTCACAACGCTCAACCCACAAGAATAGGAAAATCAGCTAAAAAACCAATCAGCGCCAGTCGCCAACTGGTTAACCAACAACAAAAATTGGCAACTTCCTTCAGTTGGGCGCCAAGTCATTAGCCAGCCTCTTTGAGGTGGAGGCCCACTCGGAGTACCGCTATGACTAGACGGGCCTTGCCTTGCGTTGTTCATATATTTTGTATGTATGCAACCATTAGCCGCCGCATGCACAAGCCACACACAGATGCTCACATGAGGATCGGGGGAAAGGGACTTGGGAGCTGGGGCCTGGGACTTCGCGACGTTTGCTTTGTGGCCCCTTCACTTTTTGGTGCTTTTTTTCTCGATCGGATGAAAAAGTTGCCGTAGCAAGTGCCGCTCGCCATTCGCGATTCGCATTCCGCTGGCCGAAAGTATCTTTGGAGTTTTGCATCTTGCGTCTGTCTGCGGTGCTTAACTGTAAATTGAGGCATGTGCCGCTATGCCCCTGCGCCTGTGCCCATACCATGCCCCTCCTCCAGCCATCCTCCTTTCCGAGGTGCTCTCTTCGGCTCTTTCTTTTGTTTGTCAAGTTCAATGTGCGTTGACAATTTTCCATTTCCAAATGGGCGACGTCATTCGCTTTGCCTGTTTCTGTTTCTATCTTAATATAGTATCTACATATAGCTTAGCTGCTTTTTGCACTTTCAAAACACAAACACACACGAAATCAAAATGTCATTGTATTTGCGAAGATTTGCGTGTGTTTAATTCCTTTTAAATCGAATCCCTATTTAAATTTCATCAACAAAAAATCCCGGAACTTAATAGTGCACTCAATCAGTCAGTCGTCCGTCGCCCTGATGATAAAGGTGCAGCGTGTGGATATTTTCCCAAAAATGTATCTTTCCATCTGCTCTTTCGCAGTGCATAAATCACTGATAGAAAGAAATAGGAGAAGGCAAGAAAATACCATCATCTTCTTCGTTTTTTGTTAGTTTTGTGAAAGCGCAAGTCGTTTGGCTCTGTGCTTCGTAGTTTTTACACTTTTACCAAGGAGCGAAAGACGTAGACACATACATATGTACATATGTACATGCATATGTACATTACAAGTACTTGTAGATACTTTTTACATACGGGCATCATAAGCATATTTTCTCTATTGCCCACGTACAGACATTGTTGTTGTCTTTAAGCCGCTTAATTGAAAGTCTTGACTTGACTTATGACTTGGTCAACGAAAAAGCCATTAACAGAGTTAAAAATGGAAAATGCTTTTGGTGTAGCTAAAATTGTTAAGTGAAATTTATGAAAAATATAATAATGAATAATAATGGCTAAGTGAGAATTAAACTCATCCAATACATCTGTGTCGCATTTTAAGCTTTCAAACGTCAATTTAATGAAATATACTAATTCGCTGAAATACATATAAAGTCCAATAAAAGAGCTTAGAAATGATTTAAGTCAAAATATCTGAGCTTGTCAGTGAACGTGAAAGTGGTGAAAATCAACAGAAATCAAACAATTTTCTTTAAGCAACAAAATAAGGTAAGGTCACTCGATGAATAAAATCTTCGCTGAATAATACCCTAAATTTTTTATATAATATAATAATATTAGATAGCTTTTAAGCTTTGAATTCCAATCTGTAGAAGTCTGGACGATCTGCTTTCCTCAGCAACTAAAACTGACATACTATGAATCGCGGGTATCCCATAGTCGCAATACTTTCTCGCAAATTTGTATACCCGATAAACGAAGAGTAATTAGGCTGTATTGTATTTGTTTCTGACCCCATACATTACATGTATGTATATTCTTGATCAATATCAATAGCCGAGTCGATATAGTCATGTCTGTCTGTCCGTCCGTCCATCTTGTTTGTCGGCTAGTTCTCAGAGACTGTAAAAGCTAGAGCCACCAAACTGTGCCTCCAGACTGCTCACACTGAAAGCAGTGTATTTAAAAAATTTGCCCCGTCCCTTCCGCCCACAGAAAGGTCGAAAATCAGCTGTTTCCACAATTTTGAAGATAAGATAAATCTAAAAACGTAGTTCCGTAGAGAATCTATCAGATCACCGAATTGGTATCAGATTGGATCATTACTAGCCAGAATAAAGAAATTAATTTCCAGTGACTAAACCCACCCCGTCCCGCAGTTTTTTTGTTTTGTGCACATTTTCTCCCCAACACACTTTGCTTCGCGCAGTGTGCGGCCGCTGCCTCTGCTTCTGCTCTAGTGGAGTGGGGGGGGGGGGGGGGGGGGGGGGGGGGGGGGGCAATAAAGGAGCGTGTTGACGTGAGAAGTGACGTAGATGTAGATGAAAGATGTAGAAAAATGTAAAATTTAAAATTTAAAAAAAACAGTTAATGTACAATGTGCCATTGAGTTTCTGGTATAAAAGTTGTGTCGCGTAAGAAGCGTCTCACACGTCTCTCCTCGTTTTTAGTTCCATTTATTAACTTGTTTTGAATGTCTATCAACGGCGTTCAAACAGCACATCAGGCTCTGAGCTCATGCCAAGATATTCGAGCAAAAACTTGTTTAGTGATTCATTATTAAAGCTATTGGTTTCGTTTTGTTTTATTTGAATTCTAACAGATTTT